GTTGTCTCCTGAATTGGCTCACAGGATGCAGACAGATCTGCTCTGACAGCCTCTTTAGCAACATCAAGAAAATTTGGTGTTTAGGCCGAAATCTTCCTCCTCCCTACGCTCAGGCTGCTGTGAGGAAAAAACATATACCCACGGTGTGAGGTGGGGAACTCCAGATATTATGTTTTCTTGCTTCCTGTGAGTCTGCGCCTTTTGCATGAAAATGCAGAAATAAAAGTTATTAAAATGTTCGTGAAGTTTACACAGTTCTTACTTGTTTTCGTATTTCAGACTTCTCAGAATTAATACGATTCAAGTCTTGACTTCTGCCTGAGAGATGGTAACTGTCCTTCTTGATTACAAGCATACAGTAAAGCAAGTAAGCAAAGCATGCAGTGATTTTAATTGTGGACAGTTTGCAGTCCTGTTCTCCCCTTACGGGTGTGAAGAGGAGATGCTGCACTTGGCTAACTGGAAAGAAGGCCAGGATTGCGTCCTGGAAAATAGTCTTAGGAGAATGAACCAGACTTAGAACAGCTGAGCAGTGCATCCTATAGATGTATCCATGAATGTTTTGTCCTGAAAAGCTGGCTCTGGCTCATAGAGAACATATGGGTATTCATGTAGACAGTTATTTTCCTTCTCAGTACCAACTGACTGACATTTATATTTCTTGGAGGTACAAACACTGCAAAAGCATGATGTTTATGAGAAGTTATTTCCTCACCCTATCTAATGTGATAAGAACAAACTGGTTCATATTCCTTGTCTATATTTATTTTAGCATTTTATCACTCCAACTCCTCTCTCCAAGCCTTTATTCTGATTCTTAGTATTTTGGGCTGACCTTAAGCTCTGATGCAGAGGAAGAACTTCTAAAATTCTCAACACTACTGACCGCTCTTGTGCTCCACTGTCTCTCTGGACTCTCAATAAATTCTTGAAGACTTCCATGTCCCAATGAGCTCCAGTCTAAAGTAGCACTCAATGCAAGAATTATTGTCCTTTATTGCCTTTGAATGTGCAATTTCTTTTTTCATTAAATGCAGATTTATTTTTGTACTATGAGTCAGCAAGAACAGACCTTCCCAAGAACTTCTCTGCACTGTACAGACAATCCCATTCTAACCTTCTGATCTTTCTTTTCACAGTAAACCATGCAAAGGAGAGAACAAGAATCATCTTCATGCAGTGAAGTATTTATGGTTATTTTCTTAATAGTCTGACTGCCCCATGAATTCTAACTTAGTTAAGTGTCCTATTTTTTAAGGAATAAAGTACTTAAAGAACTCAAATTTCCTTATTAAGCATCTGATTTTTGATGCCACATTACAGTACTGACAAGTATATTATGACATTTATATATGAGAGATCATTTCTAAATGCAAGAACCACAACGTTCTTAAGGAATTGCAGTTTGAAAATAAACCATGATGTTCTGTCAATGAAACGCAGGAGGAAATGCAGATGAAGGAAATAAAACCCACGTGGTACCTGAAAAGGAGTTTAATTTCCTATCCTTGAAGCAGCTATGGTTAGTTTTCCAAACTAAAGTAAGAATACAATTTATTCTCCTTTGCACATCATCTCAAAATAGCCTCTACACCTGCATCAACGGGAAGTGAAGAAAATGAGAATGTGTATCTGGCTGCACAGAGGCTCACCTCTTCAACCCCCCTGCCTTTTTGGTTTTAGGATTAAAAGGGGAGGGGTAAAAAAAAGAACAGTGGAATAGCGGTGCTTCACATAGATTAAACAGCTGGGGGGAAACGGCTTTCCCAGGATTTGGCTCACTGCCCACAGCCATAGTGGCTGGAGAGGCGGGGCCGGCTCCCAGCTGCTTGCCACTGTCCATGGCCACACTTGCTGCCCCTTAGACATGCTGGCAAAAGCATCACATGGAAACTCCTCCAAGGCAAGGGCCTGGGGAATCACACAATTCTACTGTTACAGCTGGCATATTCACTGAAGCTATAAAAATTGATTAGAACATATCCATACATATATGAGATACATCCGTGAAGAATCAACTTGTCTTTTGTTGAGGGAAGTTCTGACTATCAAACCTCTTAGAGGTCACTGGAAAAATTAGGAAGCACGTGGGAAACAGTGACTCAGCTTGGAGTGAATGTGGATTTCCAAAAAGCTTTTGAGAAGTTCCCCAATCAAAACTCTGGCAGAAGTTAAGATGGCAAGGATTCGGAGGGAAAGTCCTAAAAAACCATAACTGATTAAAAGATAGGAAATGAAGTGTAAATACACAGCCGTTTTTCACAATGGAGGAAGGTTACCAGCAGGGTCCCACAAGGATCTGTGCTGTGCTGTTTGTAAAGTGATCTGGATAAGGGAGTGAATAATGATGTGACAAAGTTTATTGACAAAAAATAAAAGAAAAAAAGAGAACAGTGAAAGTAAAACCAGCTGCAAAGAACTGCAGAAGGCTATTACAAATTCTGAGTGCACAATAAGAGGGAAATGATATTCAATATTGATATAACATAAAATGATGCTTGCAGGGATACACAGCCCTAACTGTACATACACAACAATAGGCTCTAAATTAGCTCTGTTCCACCCAGGACAGAGACCTTGCAGTCACTGTGGGTAACTCTCTGTGGGCAGTTGGCTCAGTAGCAGTCAAAAAGGCAAAGAGAAAGCTAGGAGTAATTACGAAGGAACAGAGAAAACAGAAAACATTGTTACACCACTGTATAAATGATGCGTCCTCATTTTAAATCTGGCTATCCGTTCTGGTCACCTCACCTCAAACGAAGGCAGAAGAACTAGAAAAGATACAAAGCAGGGACACACAGACAATCACTGGTATGGAACAGACTTCTCTGCAAGACAATCAGGAGTTTTCAGACTGGATGAGACAATCGAGGGGAAACACTTCAGAGGCCTATACGACTGTGAATGACAATGAGAAAGTCTACAGGAAGTGGTTATTATTTCTCCTAAGAAAGTACAGGGCACCAACACGGCTATGATGCAGCAGACTGAAAACTAACAAAAAAAAGTGTATATACACATAATGTGGCAGGGACTGTGGAACTCACTGGCACAAATAATGAGGATGTTCAAAACACAAATGAACAAATACAAAGAAGAAAGGTTCATCCAGGATTACTAAACGTGACAGTGAAAACACAATTCCCAGTCCTGGAAGTCTATCAAATGCTGGCTGCCAAAAGCTCAGTGGATGTACCAAGAGTATAAGGCAGAGGTGAAGTCTGTAAGTATCCCGTTTGCACCACTGCTAGAGGCAGGAGAGTGGGCTTGGGTACTTCCGCTCTTGGGCTCTGACCACTTTCAGTGAAAGCAAGCTACGACAGCTTAGACTGTGGGTCTTCGTTAGCTTCAGTTAAACAGAGCCAAACACCACAAGCAGGAGTTACAGCAGCATTCAGGGTGCAGAACAGGTCAGGAGCCTTCACATCATAAGCGGTAGAGAGTGGTAAGCTCATCAGTAGTCTCAGCTGCTGGAAAAACACAGGCTCAGGCTTCTCTAAAGCCACATTTCTTTGAGGGTTCCTTCCCTCCTCCCATTCCCATCAAACACTCGCATGGGAGCTGTACTTAGAGCATGCAGAAAGTTAAACAATCTTTTGCCTTCAGATCAGGCAGGAATTTCTTGCTTTGGGCCAGGTGACCAAGGTCTAGTAGTCTACGTGGCCTTATCACCAATCCACAAGAATGCCATGGGATCTGACACAAAGTAGGACCTGATATTAGGAACTTAATGATGTTAGACTTACTAAAACTTGGTTTTAGTAGCTAGCATAGGAAAAAGGTCAGAAACAGAAAAATCTTCTGTTGCACTACAAACCCAATAGCAATTTTTTCCTTTCTCCTATCTCCCTTAGAAGCGAGGAAAAAGATTTCTAAACGTACAACTAGGGTTACCTGGTGCTCTTCTGCAAATAATTGATTATCTATTAAGAGAAGCATGACTCCGCATTGGAGTCAATTATAAACCCGGTATGAGACAAAAATATACATGAGGTTATATATGCCTTTTCACCATGTTACATTATATAATTTAGACTTTCTATTTAAGAGACTTCTCTTTATTTCCAGTTCATGCACTTTCCTGTACTGGTGACTACATATTTAGACCTGCATGCTAAAAGCAAAGATTTATTTTTCAGAGGTAGTAACCGAAGAAGGAAGAACTAACTGGAGAAGAAAAAAGTGCCTTTCAAAAACTCTTATCAGAGGTGTGAACCAAAGTAAGATGCAAACAGCCAAGGACTGCCTAATACCACTCTATTCTTGCATTGTAGACAAGCATACAAGAAAAATTAACTATATGACAAGACCTTTAATTTGGACACAAAATGGTGTTTTTTTCACTACTAAGTCTATAATACACAACCCAAACACAAAAGCCAATGTAAATGAAGAAAAGTCAGAGCAAATTTAACAAAAACAGCCTCACTGCAAATTCACAAATAATGATAATTATTAGTGCTTTTTCTTTTGAATTACATCCAATCTTTAGGGAGTTACATTCCTAATTACTTCAATTTAAAAATGCTACAATTCAGCTGGTAAATACATTAACTTGCAGCTCCTTAGAAAAACTGACAAAACCATTTAGCCATCAAAAACATGGATTTAAAAGCATCTAGTAAAATCCAACAAAACGAGCTATGATAGGCTTTTAATTATATTGCTGTTACTTAATAATGTTAACTACTTTTATACACACATGTGTACGCATG